TGTATGTATATATATGTATATATATATACGTATATATGTGTGTGTGTGTGTGTATGTATATGTATGTGTATATATGTGTATGACTTGTGGGGTGGATAATTGTTCTGTTAATCCATTCAGAGATGATCAGGTTGAGGGATGAGAGGAGCAGCTGCTGCAAGTGAATGCAAACTTTTAAACCCAGCAGAATGAACGGCTAAGTTTCACTTTCAATGCACCTGAAGTTCTGCTACTCTGTTTCTGCCCTGAGTGCAGTTTGCACTCAGACAGTGTTGTGCTATAAATAACTGAAAGATTTATATGTTCTAATAGTGCTCCTAAAGAGCAGTCTCCAGCTCCAAAAATAGACAACCTATTTGCAGTAGTTGATGTTTAAATCATGGTGGGCTGCCACAGATAAATGTGAGAGTATCAGTATCGGAACAACTCTACTGCTGATGTGCTGTCATCCTACATTTGACCTGCCGTCACTCTTTTTGTCACTGTAAACCTCAGTCTGCAGTTTTCATACCTATACACTTCGTTATTAAACCAGAGAAGAATTCTAGCGTAACATTGACCATGACAGATCACGCACCCATGCACATCATCATGCACACCCGAGAATGCGACCATATTTTATTTTCATGTTTTAACTGGAAGAGTTGACCTCTGTTTTATTGTCAGTGAGTCGCCATGTACACATTAACCCTTCATCCTTGTGTGTTTTTCAGCTTTACCAACAGGGCCGGCTCTGCCAGTTAGGAGGAGAGTTCTGTGAACTTGAGGTGTTTGCTAAAGTACTGCGGGCTTCAGACAAAAGGTAAGAATATAATGGGACCAAGCTGTGCCCGAAACTTCACACCATCGGCATTGACCCATCATTTGTACTACAGAGTGGTTCTGAAGATCGGCCCTTTATACAGATATTTTGGTTCACCAGTTATACTGTGTGTGCTGAAAACTGCATTCATTAAATAGTGGAGTTAGATATCCTTTATGTAATGTACCTTACCAAAACTAAACCGCAGTTTTCCATACTTTGGGGTACTTGCCAAAATTCTACTGCTGTCTGAGAGTGCTGTTTCCATGTGGGGGGATGCTTGGTCTGCAACAGTTGTTGGTTGGGTGGTGTGTTTCAAGTGGCATCCACATGAATCCCAGGACCCAAGGTTTCCCAGCGGAACATTGCATTGTGACAAGATGATCTATGGTATTCACTTCACCTGTCAGTGGTTTCAGTGTTTTTGCTGATGGTTGTGTAAATGCAGTCCATTTACCATTTAATTGTATTTTATCTGTTACTCAATTACTGTTATGACCTACTGTTTTTATCTTACCCCATATGCCTCATTTTCACTAACTTTTGGTATTAGGCACTTTTCTCAAATTCTTTTTCCACTGCAGATAATACTCCATCAGTGTAGGCGGGATTCTTAGCTGATCGTCAAGCAATGCTGTGTAAAACTGGAGTGACATCACCTTCAGCACTACACAAACACTTGTGCATTGCTTAATCCATCTCTCACTGGAACCTTTTCTGGCAACCAAAGGAATGTCTCCACTTTATTTTTAAAAAACAGTTGGCTATTTTAAAATGCTGGGTTTATGCAGGATGTCATGCAAGTTAAGATTTTAGTGACTAATCTCTCAAGTGGTCTGCAGTGTTTGTTTGTGTTTTTTTTTAAAGATATTTTTTGGGGCTTTTTGGCCTTTAATTGATAGGATAGACAAGCGTGATGGGGGAGAGAGAGGGAGTGACATGCAGCAAAGGGCCACAGGCTGGAGTCGAACCCGGGCCGCTGCGGCAACAGCCTTGTACATGGGGCGCCTGCTCTACCACTAAGCCACCGCCGCCCCGGAGATATTTTTTTATAGATAGGACAGTTAAGCGTGAAGGGGGGGAGAGAGAGAGGGGGTAAATGACATGCAGCAAAGGGCCACAGGCTGGAGTTGAACCCAGGCCGCTGCAGCAACAGCCTTGTACATGGGGCGCCTGCTCTATCCACTAAGCCACCGACGCCCTGTCTGCAGTGTTTTAACTTCACCTTCTAGTATCAGCTTAATTTGCTTGGAACTTCGACCAAGTTGGCAACACAGAGTACCATGTACTATCCACAACTTTTACCAATGGAAAACCCAAAAAAGAACATTTCAAGTCAAGCTGTGCCATACCATGCAGTGGAATTGAGGCTTTAAATGCTCTTGCCCTGTGACTTGTGCTTTGTGTGGGGCACACAAAGCACAAGTCACATGGCGAGAGCACACAGCTCTTGGGACGTGTTAGTTCAGTTTAACAAAGCCATTTTAAGTTCCATATCACATCTTCTGCCATGCAGACTTTACTTAAGGAAAAGGGGTGCTGAAAGTAAACAAATGTAATGCTGGTATGGAGCTAGGTAAAAGTGAACTTCCTGTGCACAATAAAGCACCCTTTAGGTAAAGGTACATTATTGATGTTCTTTTTCTGTGAGCTTTTTTTTTTTTTTTTTAAGTAAAGACTTTTATGTAACAGATATATTGATTATCACCTTATACTTATGCTGTCCACTTACATGGTGCATTCCTTTGTCCTATCACTGCAGACACCTACTGCACCACTGCTTTCAAGCACTAATGGACCATGGTGTGAAAGTGGCCTCAGTTCTGGCAAACTCCTTCAGCCGCCGCTGTTCCTACATCGCGGAGTCTGATGCCCATGTCAAAGAGAAGGCCATCCAGTTTGGCTTTGTGTTAGGTAAATAGTGGGGTAGGGGACAAAAGGTTTCACACAGACACTCTGTCTGTTCCCGTATCGCACAGACTTAACTCAAACAATGAGTGATGAATTGAAGGCCATTCATTGCTCCCACTGATGTGTGTAGGTTCAGCCCACAGGAAAAATACATTAGGGATCAGAGATGGGCCAAACCATTATCAGCAGTCCATAGTCATTTTGATCATTTAAAATATGTCAAATCCTATCTAATTGTACCATGTTTTGTACTACCAGGGGTGCACTATTACGTAGAATAGACACATTTCCTCAAGATATTACGAAACAGTGACACCAGATGTAACTGTATATGATGATATTAAAAAATATTTGCTAGCCTTGTGGTTTTATCCAGGCAAGGTACTCCAGACCAAACTTTTTCTTATTCTGTTTGCAAAGCCAGCACAGTCAGCACAGTGGATGGTTTTCAAAGAAATGGAACCAGACCAACATGGGATTTTTTGAATCGATACCAATTTTAGCTGGGAAAATTTCAACAAGGACTGATATGGTGGGCGATAAAGTAAATTTGAATGAACATAGACTGTTTTCTTAAGTGGACTGTGTGCTGAGTTTGCAACTCTGTCACTTTGCAAAGGTACTTAGCAGGCTGCTTTCTTGAACCCCTGTGGGCCCAAAGACTATATTTAGTATAATAAGGAAAAAAATACCACTGGTTTTGTTCTGATTGGTCTTAAGGGCTGTAATAGACTTGCCGCTTGATCAAATGTAGGCGTACACAATGCGCCGTGTCTGTGTCTGTATACTTGCTGCAGCACTACGCAGCCAAAATGCACAATACTGGCAGTCTCCACTTGGGGCAGACAACAGAAATATAACCTGGAAATCGGGTAGTGCATGCCGCAATAGTATCCAGCTGCAGCCCTGGAGCAGAAGCCCCTGACGTGACACAAGCCTCTGGCTTGACGGAAGTGCCCCTGGCATGACGGAAGTGACTTTTCTCTTTTTTAACAACTTTTTTAAGTAAAATAGATTAATATAGCGTCTATGAATTGATGAATTGTCCATTTATTTTACCTTTATTTAATCATACAAGTCAACTTTGTTTTTTGTTGTTTGTTTTTGACCACCACGTGACATTCAAACCATCAATAAAAGAAGCTGCGCTCAGTGGGCACTCCTTCTATATTAATATTCATATGCTTCGTTAACTACGACCTTTTATTCATTTAGGTCGGACCTTTCAAACTACAAATATTTCACCATTCAGTGTGAGAAATCAATGCTAACATTCGAAAATAGCTGACTGTTACCCTATTTCGTGTGTAAGTGTGCACAATGAAGAGACAAAAGTCAGTTTGAGAAACTTTATTTTCAAATTTCCACAAACAATATCTGATGGCCAGTCCACTTCTGGCAGCCTGCAAGAGACAGAAAAGACAATGAGCACATAACTTCAAGAAACAAATCCCAACTTCACCACTGTATTTTTTTTTTTTGTTTAGCATTTCATCTGTCTTTTAGCCAGATTGAAAGCTTTGGGTCCGTCACTCTGCTTAATTTAGTGTTGTAACAGCCTGACCTCCGCGGTCCTCTTCGCTCCCCTCACCCACACTTGAGCACCCGTTCTGGGATACATAGTGTCGGCCTGCCCGGCCTGACCTCCGTGCTCCTCTCCGCTCCCCTCACCCACACTTGAGCACCTGTTCTGGGATACACAGTGTCGGCCCGCCTGACCTCCGCGCTCCTCTCCGCTCCTCTCACTCACACTTGAGCATCCGTCCAGGCCGCGGAGGTCAGGCCGGAGGGCCACGGAGGTCAGGCCCGGGAGGGACCATAGGTGAGTGGATCCCAAGTCTCGAGCCCTGCCCTCACCACTCACCAGGGACCTCTTCTAACGGTTGCAGAATAAACAACATAGCTATTTTCTGCCAATTTATTCCAGTTAGCTTACCTGAAACCTACTGCGTTGAGACGCTGTGTCCTGCGAGCTCAGTTCCACACAAAGACTGCGACAATACTATCCAGCAAAACACGTCACTTCCGTCATGCCAGGGGCACTTCCGGCAAGCCAGAGGCTTGTGTCACGTCAGGGGCTTCTGCTCCGGGGCTGCAGCTGGATGCTACTCGCATGCCGAGTGTTGTAAACAAACATGGATGCCCTTGATATGCTTGATGAGGAAGAAGAACTATGTCACTATGTAACGACGTTGAAACATCATAGAGATGCAGGTAGTTCGGCACCAGGTCTGTCAGCCTCTCTTCAAAAGTTTCCGACATTGCTCCGACAGCGACTCCATCTGGTCTGATCTCACCGTCACGTGTTCATTCGCAGTTGCATCTCATGTACGCGTCACGGTACCTCATGTTGAGATATGCGGCCGACACATCAAAGAAACGCAGATCACGCATGGCAGCCATGATGCGGCCGTGTTCGCATTGTTTGCAGCAAGTATATTACGGCCCTAAGTCTTGAAATCTGGTAATCTTTTACCAGTAGTTTAGTAATCTCACTCTCTCTCTCTCTCTCTCTCTCTCTCTCTCTCTCTTTTTCACACACGCACCCAAACACACATCACCATCCCACAACTGACCTGAAAAGTAACTAGTAACTATAGTGTAATGCAGTACTTGAGTTAATGTAACTCAGTCACTTTCCACCACTGCTCTCTACTTAATTACGCAATTACACCCTAATTAAAATGTAAAATATATTTTCATATTGGGGCATATCAGAAAATATATACACTGATACCAATATATATCTGATAGGCCCACATCAGCAGATTGAAAGGTCAGGCTTTGTTATGAAATATGTTATCATTTTCCGTTACATCTTGGTTGGATGCTTCTAAACAGTAAGTTGGCTGGTTGGCAAGCTCTAGCAGTCACTATTTTTGGAAGGAAAAAAAAGAAAAAAATGAGCAAGTGACAAATCTGTTAGTTAGGGCTAGGCGATATATCGATGCTACTCAGTTTAATCTGTCTGTTAATTAGTCTTCAGTGTGACATCGGTCTATATGTTGCACGTGCTACACAAAATCAGTCATTGAGATGAATGAAATTACTGCAGCACGCGTGCAATCCAGTGCTGCGCTGCTGGTTTGTGTGTGCGGTGGATCATAGCGTGTTGCTGTTATTCTTTGTAGTTGTAGTCCATTTTGTGACATTGAGAGAGCCTGGATGAAGGCAACAGATCTGTTTTTAAAAAAGCAGCAACAACAACACCACAGAAGTTTCATATACACGATGTATATAATGCAGAATAAGTGCCTCTTGTTCCTTCCCTGTCTTGGCCTTTCTTGTCTTGGCCCCCCACAGAGATTTTAAATTGCTACAAACAACAATGGATTTAGGCCTACTTGATACTTTTATAGTCATGTTTAGTTTTGTGGCCTGTGATGCAAACCTTTAAACCTCTGTAGCTCCAGTGCTATGTGCAAAAATGTTAATGTACAGCCCTGCTATTTATTTTATATAATTTTTCATTCACATGTGCAGCTGTATATTTTTCAAACAGGGTAATAAAATCCCTGTCTTTGCATTTATTTTGATCAGTCTGTTTTTATAAAAGTGTCATCTGAAATGTGGCTTTGACTTGCAACTAAAAACATGTAGCCAATATCGTAGAAATTGTGTATCGCCAGTCAGCCTGTAAATACTGAGATGTAAATTTTTGGCCACATCGCCCGACCCTACTATGCGCTGTTACTGTTACTATTTGTTTGGTGGTAGAACTCTAAAGATGAGTTTCTTTCCCCATGATAAATACCTGTGATATTTGAACAGAGCATTTGCAAAATATATTTAATAATGATAAAATATTTTAACTACTGTTTACAACAGGTGATGCTGATGCTATCTCACCCTCTGATTTGGAAACCATAGGATTAATCTGATGTCTTTTGATTCTAGGTGGCTTTTTGTCTGATGCAGGCTGGTATGGCGATGCAGAGAAAGTGTTTCTGTCGTGCCTGCAGCTGTGCACGCTCCACAGTGAGGTCCTCCACTGCTACAGGGCTGTGGAATGCTGTGTCAGGTCAGTCTCCAAACCTGTGGACAAGACTTACACCATTACAACTTTTTGGGCCGATCCCGATTTGCAGAGTGTTTGGACGGCCGATTCCGATTTTGGCCGATTCCGGATTCATTTTTTTCAAACTACTTTACAGCACACAGGATATTGCAGTATTTTCTATTTTTCCTTTATTAGAACATTTTAACCAAGATACAACCAGCTTTTCAATAATCATCTCAAACAATCACACAAAAACAGTGACAGAGGTTAAGAAACATTTTCCTCTTTTGCTCAAATATAACTTCATGTACATACAGGTATTAAAATAAGTAAAAAAAGGCATACATAATTAAAAACATTGATAAATCAAATAATTCTTGGTGTATAGCATTTGTGGGTAATTTCTTGAAAAGAAAAAAAAAGTAAAAATATCTCCTGTGGAAAATTCAGAAAGTGCAGTGTTATGGACATTATTATTTTAACAACTAGAAAAAACGTGCACATTCTTCGGCACGCGAACACGTGCATCTTCGGGGCGTGGACACGCGCCTTGTCAGTTTCAAGCAGCACAGTGCAGCACTGAGAGCTCCGCAGTTAAGTTTAACATGGACAATTAACAACTTTCTCCTTCTCTCTTTTGGTGTGTGTGCGTGAATGATTAAGGTGAGAAGCCGCGCATGTTTCACTTCCTCACATTGCCCAAGCAGTGAGTTGCACATGTGCGTGTGTGTGCGCTGCGCGGTGGGAATTTGACTGGCGTTTTAAATCGGCATATTTTAGACTGACCGGCCAGTTGCAGGTCATGGCCGATCACGTGAAAATCGGCCCAATTCCGAGCACTGCCGATTAATCGGTTCAAGTTTACTGTGGACATTCAGTGTATAGTTGCATATATCAAGAATATTTTGACCCTCAATGTACAGCCCTGATTCCAAAGTTGAGATGTTGTGTAAAAGTTAGTCAAAGCAGAATATATTGCAAATTTTTGTAAATATACACTCAATCTTAAATGCAGCCCCAAGGGGCACAAGACAGTGTTCTCATTGGGCCGGTCCCAGGGTCGGATAAATGCAGAGGGTTGTGCCAGAAAGGGCATTCAACATAAAACCTATGCCAAATCTAACATGCGAATCACGAATATGACTTCCATACCGAGAAAAAGATGTACAAGACGGTGGTGAGACCAGCGATGTTGTTTGGTTTAGAGACAGTGGCACTGAGGGATAGTGAATATATCAGTAGAAGGATGCTGAGTTTGGAATTGCCAGGCAAGAGGCCTAGGGGACGACCAAAGAGGAGATTTATGGATGTAATGAAAGAGGACATGAAGTCATTTGGTGTGAGAGAAGAGGATGCAGAGGATAGGATTAGATGGAGGCAGATGATTCGCTGTGGTGACCCCTCAGTGTTCAACATAACATTTTTTCCCCACTGGCCCCCCGGGCCAGTAGTTCAGAGTTTTACTGGCCCCTTGTATATTCTTACTGGCCCAAGTAAAAGAGAGAGAGAGAGAGAGAAAATGAATATAAAACTCCATTTATTTTAACTTCATTTCATTTAACTCCATTATACCTCATTGTAGTGCGTGATGGTATATACAGCAGTCCTCTCAGAAACTGATGTATGATGTCACAGCCTCTGTGTACTCATCCACTTCTTGACCTCACAACAGGTTTACAGAGCTTTAACTTCTGCCTGTATGAGGGAATCAGGTGGACGGTGTTGTGGTCAGAGTGGCCCAGTGCAGCGCAGAGGACGGTGTGATAGGCGTTGTTAACAGTTGTGTAACAGTGATCCAGGATATTCTTCTCTCTGGTCTGTTTGTATTTGGGGAGTTCATAGGTGAGGTTACCTTTGTTAAAGTCGCCAAGGACAGTAACTAAGGAGTCTGCTCCACACACAGTAGCCTATCTGGTCAGCGAGCGTGCGCTGTAGCCTCCTGCACGTTGGCCTGCGGTGGGATATAAACACCGACCAGAACGAATGAACCAAACCAAACTCCCAAACCAAACTTGTCGCCGCCATCTTGCATTGACTGAATCGTCTGTCCTCGGCTGGGTTCGGCTGAGCTCAGCAGATGATACACAAAGGATTCTGGGATAGCACTTATTGCCAAGGGTGGTCCTGGAAAATCTTAAAAGTGAGGGCCATACAGCCCTTATTCTTGACCCTCAACTCAACACTCTGAGAATCGGGACAGCACTAGCACTTCGGATGCGGATTTTTGAGACTGAGGGTTAAGATTGAGGGTTAAGATAGGAATTGGGTTTGGGCCATACACTCTTACACCTGCAACATGTTCCAAAAAAGTTGAAAGGTGAACAGGTTATTGGTAACAGGTGATAGATAGTATCATGATTGGGTATGAAAGGGCTACCGCCAAAGGCTTAGTTGTTTACAAGTGAGGATGGTACGAGGTTCAACACTTGGTGAAAAACTATGTGGGGATGTAGTCCAACAGTTTAAGAAGAATATCTCTCAACTCACAGTTCCAAGGAATTTAGGATTTCACCATCTGCATCCATAATGTCATAAATAGATCAAGAGAATTGGAGAAAACTCTGCATGTAAGGGGCAAGGCTGAAAACCAATATGAAAAGAAAGCCATGTATCAGCAACATCCAAGACAGCAGTGACTTCTTTGGGCCTGAGCGGAGAAGTGTGCTGTGGTCTGACAAGTCCACATTTCAGATTATTTTTGGAAATTATGGACGTTGTGTCCTCCGGGCTAAAGAGGAAAAGGACCATCCAGATTGTTTACCAGCTCAGTTCAAAGCCAGCATCTGTGATGGTATGGGGGTGTGTTAGTGCCCACGGCATCATGGGTAACTCACATCTATGAAGGCACCATGAATGCGTCTCTCAAGACCCTGGACTGTTGAGCAAGTGAAGTTATATATCAAGCAAGAATAAGAAAGAATTTCACTTTAAGAACTTCCACAATTAGTGTCCTCAGTTCCTAAACACTTACTGAGTGATGTTCAAAGAAGAGATGATGTAACACAGTGATAAACATGCCCCTGTCCCAACTTTATTAAAACAGGTTGCAGGCATCATATTTGATAGTGTCCTTAGTCAGGTGGTAGTCAACATGTTTAACAGCTTAGTCAGAGATGTTGCCAGTGTCTTGTTTAGTGAGTGACCGTGTTAGCTGGTGACTTTAGCCATTTGCAGTTGTGGTTGCCCATAGTAACTTAACATAAATGGTTGGTGTCCTAAGGACAGAGGGCTGTCGTATGCTGTAAAGCCCCCTGAGGCAAATTGTGATTGATTGACTATGAGCAACCACATTGTATCTGGCTGAAAGTCACCAGTTATCATGGTCACTCGTTAAATAATTCTGTAGAACCTGAGTCCACTATTAGAAAATTGATTCTGACAACCAAGAATGCAACAACCAGACATTTTGAAGTTGGTTTTTAAAGCTTGTTCATGCCACTTCCATTATCAACATATGTGCACGTTTTTTGTTTTTTTTTAAATATATGTTTATTAAATTTTCAAGACACAAAACAGGAACACATATGACATATACAAACAAACATACATTTGGCTCACATACACATTTAAAATCAAATTTATACAGGCGAGAGATTCGGGAGTCCTTCTATACAAATAAAATAAGCAGGTAAAATAAACCAAGTGCACACTGCCATGCATGATATATTCACATGATCAAAGAAAGGTACACAAAAACAAAAACATATCAATTAAGCGGTAGGATGTCATTTACGAGGCAGAGCATTCTCAGCTATGATACAAACCCTCTTGTAAGAATGGTAGAAATATTCAAACCCAATATATGACAAAAAGGGTTCCCGTGTTTTACGAAAAACATCATCTTTGCTGTGTAGTTTACACGTCAAATAGTCCAAAGCAACATGTTCAAGTGTCACCCTTTGCCACTGAACCTTGGATGGAACTTTATCCATTATCCAGTTTAAGAGAATACACTTTCTAGCACAGAAAGTAAGTGTTTGGTAAAGTTTTCTTTTAAATTTGTCAGTGATGGACAAATCAGATATACCAAGAAGCAGATGCAAGGGGTAGTTATTTCTATTAGTACATAGAATCTTATTAATTTCCTGCCCAATGACCTGCCAAAACTGCTGTACTTTTCTACAATACCACAAACAATGTGTAAGACTACCAGTTTCTATTTTACACTTGGGGCACAGTGGAGATGAATTAAGGTTGAATTTATGACGTTGTGAGGGGGATACATGGACCCTGTGTAGTAGTTTCAATTGCATGGCTCTCACTCAGTTACAAACACTCAGCGTTTTTGCACTCTTCCAAGCATCACTCCAGCCATCGTCTGTTATATTAACCTTGAGTTCTTTTTCCCATAAGCCTTTCAGAAAATAGGTGTTTGTGGTGTTATATCCCTTAAGGATATTATAGAATAAGCTAATAGATCTGTCAGATTTCTGTAAAAAGAGCTGTCTCTCTAAATGTGAAATATTTTGACACTGAAGGATTGTGGTATCCTTTGTGACGAAGTTTCTTACTTGCAAATATCGAAAGAAATCCTGTTGTTGAATGTCATATTTCCTTTTCAACTGACTAAAAGACATCATGGTAGAACCTTCCAGTAGTTTATGTAAAGTGGATATTCCTTTATTTACCCAAATCCGGAAGTTATTGTCCATCACTCCAGGAGGGAAATCAGGATTATCGCATATTGGAATAAAGACAGAGGTGAATTGAGATCTGCCCTCTAATTTTCTAATGGCAAGCCATGCTTTAACTGTGGAAATTGTAATTGGGTTAGTACAAGCAGACTTCAAAGATGTACTTTTCCTAATAAACAAAAGATTACTCAAAGGGTATTTGGACATTGAACTTTCTACATCCAACCAGAGAGATGTGGAATTACTACACATCCAGTCAGCTATAGTACGCAGATGAACACTAAGCTGGAATTTTCTAATGTCTGGGAGATCAACACCTCCTTCTGTGGAAGACAGACATAACGTGGCTATTTTTAGGCGTGGTTTCTTCTTAGACCATATAAAGGAACTAAACCAGCTATTTAGCTGTTTGATGGTCTTATGGAGAAATATAACTGGGATCATTTGTATTGGGTAAAGTAACCTGGGGAGGATGTTCATTTTCAGCAGTGCAACACGGCCTAACCAGGAAATTGGGAGAGTGTTCCATCTCTCAAGGTCCAACCTTATGCGCTCAAATATGGGTGGGAAATTTGCTTTATATAGTTGGTCAAAGGAGGGTGTTATACATATTCCCAAATATACAAAGCCTTCTGGTGACCATTTAAAAGGAAAGGGAGATGGAGTTTTGGGTATTTGTTTCAGAATACCTAATGGCATTGCTTCCGATTTACTGAAATTTATTCTGTAGCCAGAAAAAGTACTAAACATATTGATGGTCTCAATAAGGGCTGGGGTAGATACTTCAGGCACCGTCAAAACAATCAAGACATCATCAGCATACAAAGTAATCTTGTGTTGTCTCGTGTCAATGGTGAGACCATGTATGTTTTCATTTGCTCTGATTGCCTCAGCGAGAGGCTCAATTGCCAAGGCAAAGAGCAAGGGCGATAGGGGACATCCTTGCCTTGTACCTCTTAAAATTTTGAAATTAGAAGAAAACAACCCGTTTGTAAGCGCTGCTGAGAGGGGATTTGTATAAAGTAACTTTACCCAGCTTATAAAATTTTCACCCAGGCCAAATTTGTGTGATATGTAAAACAAGTATGGCATCTCCACGCGGTCGAATGCCTTCTCGGCATCTAGCGAAAGCATCAGACCATTCAAAGACCGCTGTTGAAAAACTTGAATTGTATTTAGTAATCTGCGCATATTATTGTATGAATTGCGACCTTTGATGAATCCAGTTTGGTCATCTTTTATAAGCATAGGGAGTAAGCTTTCTAGTCTTGTTGCTAATATTTTAGAGAGGAGTTTCAAATTGGCATTCAACAGGGAGATGGGCCTGTATGATGCACAGTCCTCTGGGATTTTGCCCTTTTTCAAAATTAGAGATATGTGCGCCTCTCTCAGAGACTGCGGTAGAATGCCTTTCTTAAAAGAGTCATTAAACATATTTAGAAGAGGGTCAATCAATAAATCATGGAACTCTTTGTAGAATTCACTACTGAATCCATCCGGGCCTGGAGCTTTACCAGATTGTAACCCTTTAATAGCATCAAGGACTTCCTTCTTAGATATAGGAGCTTGGAGAGATGTTTTCTGGTCAACAGATAAACTAGGAAAATTAAGTGAAGAGAAAAAAGTATCCATTTTTTCAGTTGCATCAGTTTGTAGTTCAGATTTGTACAAATTTTCATAGAAAGTTTTAAATGTGTTGTTAATGGTTTTGGTGTCGAAAGCCTGTTTACCCAGGCTGTCTATAACTGAAGAAATAATTTGGGAATCTGCTTTTTTCTTCGTCAGATATGACAAATATCTCCCTACTTTATCTCCATGTTCGTACATTTTTTGTCTAGCAAGTCTGATTTTACCTTCTGCATCTTTTGTTAATAGCAAGTTCAAGGTGCATCTAAGTGCAGAAATCTCTTTAAGCTTCTGTACAGATGAGTTTTTAACATATTCTTTCTCAGCATGTTTCAGTTTGGACTCTAAGATTTTTCTTTGTTCATCCTGCCTTCGCCTCTTAGAGGACATATAAGATATAATAATACCTCTTGAAAAAGCTTTAGATGTTTCCCACAGCAACGAGGGGTCATTGGTGGAAGCTGAGTTAACAGATAGAAAAGACTGAAATTCCTCTCTAAAATAAGATATGAATTTATGGTCTGTTAGGATAGAAGGATTGAACTTCCAGTGTCTAGTTTGGTTGACTGGGTTCCTTAAAATATAGTGTACGGACACAGCAGCATGGTCAGAAATAACTATATTTCCTATAGAACTAGAGATAACTGACTGCAGCATAATTCTTGGAAGGAAGAAATAATCAATCCTAGTATAGGACTTGTAAACATTTGAAAAAAAAAGTATATTCTTTCTCAGCCACGTGTTGGGCTCTCCATACATCTATGTAATCTAGGTCCTCACAAAGTGCTGAGACAGTTTTAGCTTGAGGTGAAAGAGATGATTTTCCAGGTGGAGATTTATCCATAATGGGATTTAAATGACAATTAAAATCTCCTCCAATAAACGTGTTTCTAATATTAAGATCTATCACTTTAGAGAAAGAAGTAGTCAGGAGATCACTTGGGTATCCAGGTGGGTTGTAGATATTCATTATAGCAATTTCTTCCCCGTAAAGTATGCCTCTCACTATCACATAACAACCTGCTGTGTCTTTTGTACAATCTAGAAGTTTGAATGGTAAATTTCTCTGGATTAAGATGGCCACACCTCTACTCCTTGAAGTAAAAGATGAAAAATAAACCTGTCCAAAACCTCCTTGTTGTAATTTCAAGTGTTCACTGTCATTTAAGTGTGTTTCTTGCAACAGTGCTATGTCAACACATTCCCTTTTAAGGTAAGTTAGGATCTTTTTCCGTTTGACAGGTGTGTGAACACCGTTCACATTCCAAGTGCATAGCTTCAAAGCTGACATAGTTACTGACTATGAAATAAAATAATGCCTGAACACATATCGCCTGTAAAATAATCTGTTAACAGAGTGAGCCAAATGGAACCAGAACATAACACTATAACGGTTATAACAAAAAAAACAAAAAACAGTGCACCTAAAGCACACCTTGCCTAACATTGGCATAAAATGTAAACGCTGTCCTTCTCCTAAACTTAGGGGAGCTCGAGTGAAAGGGTTCTCTAGCAACAAAAGAAAGCTATCTATCCGGGAGGTCGGGAGGTATTGCTTATAATGTGCCTGCAAAGCTAACAGTCTCAGCGCTCCAGATAAAGCGCAATGTATATCCATTGTCTAACTGTAACACAAAGTAAAAGTCCGACTAATCCGCTGCTCAGCATGAAAAACTTACAGAGTAATGTTCACACATCGTCACGGAGGGTCTCCCTCAGTGACTGGACGTACTTCTCCACCGCGGCTGGGTCGTGAAACACCTTGGAGGATCCGCGACAGGTGACTCTCAGAGACGCAGGGTAGATTTGCCTGTAGTCAGCGCCGAGTGCTCTCAGCTGTTTCTTCACTCCATCGTATCCCTTTCTCCTGCGGAGAACGGATGCGGAGAAGTCCTGAAATATCATCACTGTCGCGTCTTCATATTTCAGTGCTTGATTTTTCCGTCCCATCTCCCACGCCGCATTCATTACACGCTGTTTATCTTGATAGTTATGGAACCTAACCAGCACCGGCCGTGGTCTCTGAGTGGAGGGGGGCTTCACTCGACCCGACTTTGTTTCCATGTGAAGGATTTCAGGGAGCCAGGTCTCGAAGAACTGAGTCGGGTCTTCTCCCTCAGCCTCTTCTGGAAGTCCGACGATACGGATGTTTTTACGTCGCCCCCTGTTCTCCAGGTCGTCAGCCCGCTCACTTAATTCACACACCTTTTTTTCTAGCGCTTTCATTTTTCCGTCGACCGGGTCTGTGGTATCCTCCAGCGCCGAAATCCTCTGTTCGGCTTCAGTTATGCGCTTATCGTGGCTGTCGAGCTCCTCCCGATGTATTTTTAAGAGCTCTGACAGTGGGCTTAGCTTTTCGTCGATAACTCTGGAGATGTTGGCTGTAATTTCATCCACGGCTTCACGAAGTGCCAGTAAGCTAGCATCTGCTCCGGTATCGGCTATGGTGCTAGCTCCAGCGTGGGCACCGCCCGCCTGTTGGCTATGCTCAGCATCGTCAACAGCTTGATTTTTCTTGCATGGCATGGTGTCAGACTGTCTCAGAAAATAACTGTCAATGTTCATGTTAGGCTAATGAACCATTAAGAGGTTGGAGTGCTATTTTTGCAGGGTTAAATGGGAAAAATTAGCGAGTTAGCACACCAGCTCTCCCGAACGTGACCCTCTCTCACGCCGCCATCTTGAAAACCCATATGTGCACGTTTTGATGATGTCAGTTGTAAAATAGACTATATCACTGTATATATAACTGTGTGTTTGCTGTGTTATAATGTGATTTATATCTACGTCCAGTCAATAACTGAGATACACCCACCTGAGATTGTTATTAAGTTTTCCTCTGTTGTCTACACAGGCTGCTTCATGTCCGCAATGGCAATTGTAAGTACCATTTGGGGGAGGAGACTTTCAAGCTTGCTCAGTCTTACATGGACAAACTAGCCAAACATGGCCACCAGGCCAACAAGGCAGCATTGTACGGCGAGCTTTGTGCCTTGCTCTTCGCCAAAAGTCACTATGATGAGGTATGTATGTCTTATCACCAGTGACTGAGAAAATGATATTATTTCTGTCACATATTATAGACAACAATGGCAAGTGCTAGTTTTAATTAAATGAATTATTAAGTTAGTCTGGTTAACAGCACTGCAGAGTGGTTGAGAATACTCCAGATAGACATGGATTAAGTTTGGAACCCAAATCTTTTTTTCTCCATTTTCCAGGCATACAGGTGGTGTATAGAGGCTATGAAAGAAATTACTCCAGGGCTGCCTGTCAAAGTAGTGGTTGATGTCCTCCGGCAAGCCTCTAAGGTTAACTATGTTTGTTTATATTACAAGATTTTATTGTGTTATTATTGGAGGTACAGTGTCTTTGTAGAATGTATCCACAGAAAAGTAATCTGTCAGGCCCAGGAGGAAAATCCCATTGATCTGACATGATTGTGTGGGGTTTGACTTGTGTTTCCACTGCAGGCCTGCGTGGTAAAGAGAGAATTCAGAAAAGCAGAGCAGCTGATCAAACATGCAGTGTTTCTTGCAAGGTAATCTCCTGTGTCTTTTAAAGAGTCAACATTATTTTTGTCCCTTATGTTATTGAAGAATTATGATTAAATGTTTTGTGCCTTACAGAGAACATTTTGGACACAAGCATCCCAAGTACTCCGACACGCTGCTAGATTATGGATTTTACTTATTAAATGTAGACAACATATGCCAATCCGTTGCTATTTACCAGGCAAGTGCAGTGATGGGCAACAGAAGTGTGCCCATGTTTTCTATGTCCTCATTTTCATAAAAAAACAGTTTGATGTATTATCTGTATATAATTAAAAGTCCATTCTGTCTGTACAAATTCCAGACAGCGCTAGACATCCGGCAGTCTGTGTTCGGGGGCAAGAATATTCATGTTGCCACAGCCCATGAAGACCTGGCCTACTCCTCATATGTACACCAGTATAGCTCTGGGAAATTTGACAATGCTCTGTGAGTACAGTGAATCTTACAAACCTATTTAAAAATTTTAAATCTTACTAGACCAGCCAGCTAATCACATTAGACATAAGCTCCCTTGTAAATTTAGCACAAGACCATGATTCATACACCAGTCTGCTCTGACATTCACTGTACTGTGATTTTTGTAATGTGTGGCTGTATGCTTTGGAAGTGTGCCATGTCATATATTAAAAAGCATTGATCATTTTCAACAAAGTGATATATGATGGCAAAGATAACAGTTTTTCAACTGATCCAGTGACACTCCTTGCTGTATACAAAGGCCCTGATTCAAACTTGGGCAGTGCTTTGACCTCTCTAACCCTGATGTGAGCTTCAAAACAACTTTCCTCAGGGGAAACACTTGACTTTCTTGGAAATGTTTATGCTGAATAAAATACACTTTCCAGCCAAGTCTGAGTTGCATGTTACGGTCAGCTGTTGTGTTTGTCCCTCAGATTCCATGCAGAACGTGCCATAGACATCATAACACACATTCTGCCTGAGGACCATCTGCTGCTGGCCTCCTCCAAGAGAGTCAAAGGTAAGGCAAGTTCCCTGGAAATGCTGGACTTCTGCCCACTGTGTGTAAGTGAGGAAAATGAGGCAGGCACTTTATTTTAAAACAACGATAATTTGATTTTCCAGAAGAAAGGTCATTATTTCATGTATATGGCCAGTGATGTACATCCATCTGTGGTAGGAGCAAATATCTTTACTTTAGTCTTAAGTTTTCCCGTGTGGTATCATACAGTTGCACTATGCGTTTTGACATTGTGGTGTTGACTTGGAATTTTATATCATGGTTCCAGTTCCATCTTAAGATCCTGAAACCCCTCTCCCAAAACAATACCAATAGGCAGGATATCCTTGCATATAAATCTTGCTATCTTAGCTGTGATGGCATTTTTACGAGCTTGTGGCAAGGGGCCTGCTGAAGTTGAGCAGGTTGTATAGTAGGCAGTCAGCCTCACCTGGTGCCAGTTTTCCACATTTTCATAGCAAACAGCAACACTCCTAGCTTAAACGTAGTTTACTGATAGGTCAAGGGCGCTATGGTCAAGAGCGTGGGCACACAGCAGGTCAGGCTGATGGTCAGATGGCTTAAAAATTGCAAATAATTGATCCGTTGCGTGTTACAAACAAGTAATAACAGTTTGAAAGTTAACTAAGTTGGACCGAATGGTTGAATTTATATATTTAAGCAATATCACACAAGAGGGAGTGATGTTGTACTGTGATATCGTCACGGCTGTGATTCGGTCGTAGGCACGAGGCCGCAGACCAGTTAAATAAGCAAGGCTGATTAAGAAATGTTGAAAAATGAGGACAAAATAGATAATTTAAGCATTTTATTTGTCTTCCGCCAACAAAAATAGTTCCCTCAGGACTCCGCTGTCACCGTTGCTATGTAACGCAGACATGGTGCGCCAGGCACTTAACTCTTTATACAAATTTATCTGCATGTTTCCATTAATTGTGCAGCCGGTGAAATAAGTCTCTGGTGACTGCATGGTGGACTGTCGCTTCACAGGCACAGCCGACTCTGCCTTCTGATCTGACAGTATGTTGCTTTTCTCCAAGTCATTGAGCTCCGCTGATGAAACACTGACAAACCTGCATGTGTGCTCAGATGGATTCAGCTTCTCCTCTCCCTCATCTTCCTCTGATGACCGTTCATAGTTCAATTCAAAACTTATTTTAGGAAATAAATCCATATTTTTGGCTGTTTGACAGTGGGTGAATTAATTAGCCTACAACGCAACTGCTGACCTAACCTACACTAACCGTCAGTTTTGATTTGATTGTTGATTGCAATCAGCTGTGAGGCGGAGTGATACATACACAGTGAAATAACCGTGATGTTGTACTCCAATATCATCATGGTTTTACTGTCTCTCGACCAATCAGATTGCAGGGCCGGAACTAACTGTTGTGTAATCTTTATTAGGTACACCTGGGTATATATGTACTCACTCACACTCACCAATCACTTTGGCTGAACAAGTGTACCTAATAATCATGTGGCAGCAACGCAGTGCATCTAGGCATGTAGACATGGTCAAGATGACCTGCTGAAGTTCATCAGAATGGGGAAGAAAGGTGACTTAATTGACTTTGAACGTGGCATGTTTGTTGGTGCCAGATGGGCTGGTCTGTGTATTTCAGAAACCGCTGAGCCACTGGAATTTTCACGCACAACCATCTCTAGGATTTACAGAGGATGGTCCAAAAAAGAGAAAATATCTAGTGAGCTGCAATTAACGGCTTGTTGATGCCAGAGATCAGAGGAGAATGGCCAGACTGGTTGAAGATAAAAGAAAGGCAACAGTAACTCAAATAATCACTTATTACAACCAAGGTTTGCAGAAGACCATCTCTGAATGAACAACAAGTCGATCCTTGAAGCAGATGGGCTACAGCAGCAGAAGACCACACAGGGTGCCACTCCTGTCAGCTAAGAACAGGAAACTAAGGCTACAGTTTGCACTGACTGATAGCAGGGTCAGAATTTGAAGTAAACAACATGAAAGCATGGATCCATCCTGCCTTTTATCAATGGTTCAGGCCAGTGGTGGTGGTGTAATGGTATGGGGAATATTTTCTTGGCACACTTTGGGCCTCTTAGTACAAACTGAGCATCATTTAAATGCCACAGCATTACCTGAGTATTGTTGCTGACTGTGTCCATCCCTTTATTACCACAGTGTACCCATCTTCTGATGGCTATTTCCATCAGGATAATGCGCCATGTCACAAAGCAGAAGGGAGAGAGACTCTGCACCGTAAGGCTCTGGGATAACATTATTTTCTCACTTCTGCTTGAAAGTGGTGAATTTACAGCTCATGGGTACTTAAAACTGTAAATAAAAATGTCTTGTCGGGAACAAACATTGTTGCATATTATCCCATCCAAATGAATGCTGATGCCACACTGAATGTTCCGCTGAGCCTGTTAACACTTAAAAACTTTGTGTGGGGAAAAAAAGAAAAAGAAAAATCAAATATTTCAATTAAACGGCTGAATCTGATTCAACTGTCAAAATTCTAAGTCAGGTGCAGCCGTAATATAGAGTATATTTAGTTCCTTTTTATCTTTAAACAGGTGTTACCATAACTTCCTTTGTGGAAGTAATTCCATAAATGAATGGAAAACAAAACAGTAGAACTGTTGCTGTTGTTTACAAACTAAAGAAATGAGAGATCATTTTAGTTTTTACTGAATATTTGAAGAAGCACTATTAGGGTGACATGTAAGCTGTGTCACTTATTTTGTTGCAATTCTGTTTTCCTAAATGAATATTTTTTTCACTAATTTGTTATATCCTCAAGAACATCGTTATTGCAAAAATACCCCGAAATATCCTGATGGTATCTCTCACCCCTAAGTGATGGTAAATCCTAGCTATTTTGGTAAATGTCAATTTTGCTAGCCAAAAATGTCATGGCTCTGTGGCTCCACTGTTAAATCCAGGGCAGAAGTCTAATACGTGCTTCATCATCATTTCTGTTCCTCAGCTCTGATTTTGGAGGAAATTGCCATTGACTGTCACAATAAAGAGACAGAAGAGCGCCTTCTTCAAGAGGCACATGACCTTCATCTTTCCTCACTGCAGCTGGCCAAGAAGGCCTTCGGAGAGTTCAACGTCCAGACAGCCAAACACTATGGCAACCTAGGAAGACTCTACCAGTCCATGAGGAAGTTCAAGGTGTGTGTGTGGGTGTGCGTGTGTGGTGACTGGAATAATGATGTATTAATTAAGGTAACATGAAACTAAAGAAGTGGAAATAGCTCAGAGCTTTGTTCCAGTTGTGGCTCGGCATATGAAGCAAAATAATTTTAATCAGATTTTTATTGCAAGGACCTGACAGCACTATCACAGCACACTATACTTGTAGCTCAAACATTAACTGTACAATGGCTTGCTATGTTAATGCCACATTTTCAAAATCAACCAATAAGTCCAACATACAAGTTGAAAAAAAAAAATCAAACTATGTAACGTTGTAAAGTGACATCAGGAAACCAGGGAACACATCAATTTTCTACAAGCTAGCAAAGTAAACAGTTTGTGAATGATATGTGGCTGGGAATACATATAGAGTTATCAGGCTGATAAGTGACCTCTGGTTGAAGGACCGGTTCACAGTTTCTTGAGTCTGTTTTAAAACAGCTGTCAGGTGAAAACTGACTCAGTCTTCACTGGAATAAAAGCATCATCAAGGTCTTAAAGGAATACTTTGCTAGCAAAATGACCATTTGTATATCAGTTAGTCATGTCATGTTACTTGGAATTCAGAAAGGTATCTTTGTTTTTCTTGCATGCCTCCACGGAAAAAACATCAAATATACTGATTCTTTGATTGATTAGGGACCACATTTAACAACAGCAAAACTATAATCCAAGTCTCATTAATGCAGTCCAGTTTTAAACAGGCATCGTCACGTCGGTTCAAACAAAAAAATGGCGGCGTGCAGCAGCAGTGCTGTGCTATTGTGCTATGGCCTATTTAAGTGCTGGAATTTGTTATTTATGTGACAACATCTGAATGCAACATAGGCTCCGCTTCATTGACTGTGTGCACAGTGCCGGGCTGCGGGTTCGGACCGGGCTCGGTTATAATTGTCTCACTTGGGTCGTTTTCGGTCAGGAAAATGCAACCCAAACCGCGCTCTAGCGTGCTCACCTGTGTCTGTGTGTGTGTGTGTGTGTGTGTGTGTGTGTGTGTAAATGTTAATGTTAATGTTAAGAAATGTTTTGGTATTCATATTGTTTAAATTGCCTCAATCAAATAATGGAAAAATAATCGATAATCGAAAAAATAATCGAACAAAATAATCATTAAACTAATTGAAAAATTAATCGTTAGATTAGTCCATTAATCAAAAAAATAATCTCTAGCTTAATTGCTAGAAAAATAATCGTTTGGGGCAGCCCTACTTGGATTATACTGCATGAGTTGTATGAGAGTTTGTAAAGAGATGTTTTGATATAGTTTTGCCGTTGTTAAAGGTGGTCCCCAATGAATTAATAAATAAATGAATATGTATTCTGTTTTATGTAGAGGCATGCGAGGAAAAACAAAGTTTTTTCATGAATTCAGGGTTACACAGCATGACTAACTTATATACAAATGGTCATTTTATGGTTGAAGCATTTCCTTACAGCTTTCCTGCCCAACTTTAAGGTGGATTTTGTCAACTTGACAGGAGGTGTACATCAGTGTATCAAACATGTCATTTTCTGTTAACAGTAGGTGGTGCTCTGACTGTAACTAAATAATGGCACATAGATGTCTTTAAGGCGGGACTCTTATCAAATGTGAAGTTGGGGGCAGATGTAATGATGCACAATTAAGTTAGAAACCACTTCCTGTTTTGCGACAAAGCTTGCAAATTCAACGCCCCGCTACTGCCATGCCGGTCGACAAAAATGACAGAAAGTTTCTAAATTTTAATTCTACAATGTATTACGATTGTAGCACCCAAGTTTAAAGTGGATTCAGTGAAATCTCCAGCAGTGCATCTGGAAATGGTTAAGAAAATTCCCTGAATATGAAAAGTGAATTCAAAATGGCCAACTTTCTGTTAGGTTTAGGGTGTGGCTAATCACTAGCAACTACAATACGTCCTCCCACCGTTTGGTGCTCTGGCCCTGAATTTTCTTTTTTATGCTTTGAGTTATTTTTGCTTTGATTGTGATCTATATCTTTGTCTTTGTGTGTGTGTGTGTGTGTGTGTGTGTGTGTGATTTAATGGGTGTCCATGTAATTAGGAGGCAGAGGAGATGCACGTCAAAGCCATCCAGATCAAAGAGCAGCTTCTGGGTCATGAGGACTATGAGGTGGCTCTGTCTGTAGGTCACCTGGCCTCCCTCTACAACTATGACATGAACCAGTATGAAGACGCAGAGAGACTCTACCTACGCTCCATCGCTATTGGTCAGACACAGGGATGGGATGAATGGCTCACTCCTGCTATACAAGACTTTTATCTTTGTCAGGTTTTCTTCAAAGAACAACAAACAACTTTACACCCCTTTTTATATGGAGTATTAGGATATTTTAGGTATTTTTGTCCATACGAGGATCTTGTGCTATAGAAATTCTAACTTAGTTTTTCCAGTGGATTACTGAATAAGTAGGGTAGTAACATGTTTTGATCCGGTCCTATGAACTCAACCTGCTTCAGAGCAGGTTAGCCATTCACCATAGGGTACTATGGTGATTTACCCTGGTTAAAAGTAGGGCTGTGCGGTATACCGGTTCGTATCGAAAACTGGTATTTATTTTCGTTATGATATGAATTTTTCATATACTGCAATACCGGTGAATAGCCCAAACAACGTCCGTAACGTGTGTGGCGGGAAAGTGTTTCAGCTGGGACCCATTTCACCGCTGCACACCACAGGCATGCTAGAGCCGACGAGAGTGAGAGTATAGAGAAAAGTTCAGAAGCAAGAATGGCTGCCAGAGAGAGTCCTGAAAGCGAAGCAAATGTACACTTTGCTGAAGAAGAACATGATGACCCAGAAGAACTCAAACTAAAGAGAGCAGTGTTTCCCATATATGCAACTAGCAGCGGTGCACCACCGCTGCTGAAATATGACTGTTAAGTTGGACCATGCTACATGCCTCCACCAAGTTTTGTGAAAATCGGTTGGACAGTTTTCACATAATCCTCATCCAAAAATGAATGGAAGTGAATGGGCGGCCATGTGTGGGCAGCCCGTGGACAAGCCCCCTGAGTTGGATCAACACCAAAATTTAATGTATTCTAAGCTGGAATGTGTTACATCCCTCCACTGAATTTTGTGAAAATCAGTCAGGCAGCTTTTGTAGAATTCTGCTAACAAACTAATAAATTGGGCAGCATAGCTAAAAAAATTGTTCATTTTTGTGATAAAAGCGCCAAATTTGGTACATTTATAGCTTAATATACTGGAATAGAACACTTTGGTCATAACATAATGTTTGCCAACCATTGTTATCTCTGCGATTACAAATAACTTAATGAAGCTAAGCTCCAGAAGTTAACGTTAGCTTAACTAGAGCCCTCTGGACAACAGCTAACAATGATGTACGATCACCAAAGTACAAAACTAGAACAAAATAGGCTATTGAACTCCGAGCAAACAAGGTGACATGATGAACAACGCAGCTAGGAGCTAACGTTAGGCTAACTTTAGCTAACGTTAGCTAGATAACTTTATATTTGTTTCCAGCAAAGTGACAATATGTTGCCTCAAACACGATGTTGTCTTACCTTGAAACCGACATCCTTGTTAATCTTATTCAAGTTGAGTTGATGTTGTGGTCTAACGTTACCACACAACTTTATCCAAAGGAGACACTTTTCTCTGTTGAGATGTGGTTTAAAGTGTAAAAAATACACCTCGTCGCCCAGCCTCTCAGGATACCTTGTGTCGGAGTTGCATGTACCCCATGCACACCGTTTGACCATTTTTAAACTTCAAATCTCTGAAAAAGCTCATAAAACCGAACAAAACTGACTTTCTGTAATGCATTTCAATGAACATCCAGGCAGAGAATGTCCGAGTGTATGGGAATGGCTATACGCACTGTGATTGGCTCATCGCGTTTGAGGGCGGGACTTAGCCATAGGTCAATTACACTGTAACAGTTTGAACATATGATATCTAACTTGTGCAGCCATCTGCAGCAATGTGGAACCTTAATAATAGAGCTGTTTTTACAACAAGGCCTTGAATATTATGAGAAAAGAAGAAAAAAAGGGGGGGGAAAACATTCATAGATCACAGTGTCACTGTCACTATAATCAGGAGGCCATGAAATTGGTAGAGGATTATTTAATACTCCTTTTCTTTTAATCTTCACGTTGAATACATACTTAGAATACATTACATTTTGGTGTTGATCCAACTCAGGGGGTGTGTCCACGGGCAGCCCACGCCATTCACCTCCATTCATTTTTTGGATGAGGATTACGTCAATTTTCACAAAACTTGGTGGAGGCATGTAGCATGGTCCAACTAAGAAGCCATTACATTTTGGAGTGGATCCAATTAACGGGACGGGTCCATGGGCAGGTAGGATTCAATTGCCTGCTCTGGCCACCAGGGGTGAGTTTCTGATGCCCCAATATCCAGATTTGTTCTTAATATATTTGTCAACAGATCTGCTAAATTTGGTGCTTTTATCACAAAAATGAACTATTTTATAGCTATGCCGCCCCACTATTGTCCTTTTATTAAACAAACTAAATAGCCTTATGTTATTTATCTTATTTACATGACGGCATGTCATTTCTGTCTCTACATGGTCGCGCGTTTACGATTCTCCTCTGCTCTCTGAATCGCGCACAGCGGCGTTTCGCCCCGACATACACACACACACACACACACACACACACACACACACACACACACAAGAGCATGGCTCGGGCCACATTTTCCGCCCATACCGCGCAGCCCTAGTTAAAAGTGTAGCTAGGTATTGTTTACAAAATTACAGTACTAGTATCAATATCAGAACCTTTAAAGTGATACTGATACCAACAAAGTACTTTATTCAATACCCCTAAAGTGAACAGAGTGTCGAATAGTATAGCCATACTATTACCAGTTTATGGTGTGTTACTCAACTTTACCACACCATAAACTAAAAGGGTTGCAGTGTGAGCTCCACGCTAGGGGGTTATGGGAGCCCACACACACACACACACACACTGTGACGAGGCTTACTGTTAGCAATACACAGCTAATGTTACCAAATGGGTATTAATGAGTTTAACAACAGAGTCAAGGTGTTTCAGTGTCAATGTGATTATGTTGGGGCCATTTAACGGCTCGGTGTTGGATTTCAGCCACTGCTGCTGTGTTGAAGACATTGAACTGACTATTGGCCAGAAGAGGAGTGGCCTCGGAAAGAGCAGCAAGAGAAAGTTTGCTGCTTGACGCCGGATTTCCACTGGATGTGTGTCTGTTGTGGAACAGCAGCGCTGGTTATCCGCTGCGCGCTCTGCCGTCAGTACCCACTGGCTGCGTTTGCTGTGCGGAGCAGTGCAGCTCCGCCAGAAGACATCCCGGTGCACTGCCATAATTAATATCTCCTCGTCCATGGTGTCAACGGGGTGAAATGACGTCTGAAAACCTCTGACCTGTTGACTTCAGGCTTGCCTCTGCCCATTATGTAGTTTTCAATGTGTAGTGCAGGGAAGTATTATCCGCCGTGAACACTGTGTATTTTATTTTGAAAATTAACCAGATGTTTTATTTTATTTCTGTGCACGACTTCCTGCCCCGCACAATCTGCTCTGTGCTGAATTGCTGCGTTGTGCTCCGGCGTCTGGCAAAAATAGAAGTCCTGCGTATCTGTTGCGGAGGGCTCTGGAGTGCTGCATCTGAGTTGAGTCGTCACGGTATGGGATCAGACCCCTGACGCACTCAAAGTGCCTGTCCTTAATTATGCGTAATTTTAAGCCTTGATAAAATATAAATGGGTGAGACATATAAAAAGTCACCTTCTGTACAGTTGTCACAGACGAGGAAATTAACTGTAGAGACCAAACCATTTTTTTCTACCAGGCTGTAAACGTGGTTATATCTGCCCTAAAGTTGGGCATTTTACCATGGGAGTCAGGGGGGGTTGACTTACTTCCAGAGCCAGCTTTAAGTAGCTATTTAAGGAGCTGCATTTTTGTTTGTTTGTTTGTTTTTTAGATATTTTTTGGGGCATTTTTTGCCTTTAACCGACAAGAAAGCTAAGCGTGAAAGGGGGAGAGAGAGGGGGAATGACATGCAGCAAAGGGCCACAGGCTGGAGTCGAACCCGGGCCGTTGCGGCAACAGCCACAAAGCCACCAACGCCCCAGAGCTGCAGTTTTTGGCACTTTCGTGTTGACTTCATTTTTCAGACCTGGAGTTGCAGCTTGGTCAAAACCTAGTTCATGGTTGGACTGTGTATAAAACACTAGAGGCTATTTTATAGCCTCTAGTTTTATAGGCTATTATTTTGAAGCACAGGAAGCATTAACTCAGCCATGGACTAACAGACTTTCAGTGTCGCACTAATAGAGCTACAGTGCTGGACCTGCTGTTACAGTAAAGCAAAATGTGTAATGCAATTACATGTTAAAATGAAGAATAGTACACTTAGACACTCAGCAGAAGGGAGCTGCTTTCTCTGGAGCTTTACACACTGATGAAGCTCCTTTTTCCTCTTTCTAACACATCCCTCCCCTTTTCAGCTCCGGATGGTGATATACAGTACAGGCCAAAAGTTTGGACACACCTTCTCATTCAATGCGTTTTCTTTATTTTCATGACTATTTACATTGTAGATTCTCACTGAAGGCATCAAAACTATGAATGAACACATGTGGAGTTATGTACTTAACAACAAAAAGGTGAAATAACTGAAAACATGTTTTATATTCTAGTTTCTTCAAAATAGCCACCCTTTGCTCTGATTACTGCTTTGCACACTCTTGGCATTCTCTCCATGAGCTTCAAGAGGTAGTCACCTGAAATGGTTTTCAACAGTCTTGAAGGAGTTCCCAGAGGTGTTTAGCACTTGTTGGCCCCTTTGCCTTCACTCTGCGGTCCAGCTCACCGCAAACCATCTCGATTGGGTTCAGGTCCGGTGACTGTGGAGGCCAGGTCATCTGCCGCAGCACTCCATCACTCTCCTTCTTGGTCAAATAGCCCTTACACAGCCTGGAGGTGTGTTTGGGGTCATTGTCCTGTTGAAAAATAAATGATCGTCCAACTAAACGCAAACCGGATGGGATGGCATGTCGCTGCAGGATGCTGTGGTAGCCATGCTGGTTCAGTGTGCCTTCAATTTTGAATAAATCCCCAACAGTGTCACCAGCAAAACACCCCCACACCATCACACCTCCTCCTCCATGCTTCACAGTGGGAACCAGGCATGTGGAATCCATCCGTTCACCTTTTCTGCGTCTCACAAAGACACGGCGGTTGGAACCAAAGATCTCAAATTTGGACTCATCAGACCAAAGCACAGATTTCCACTGGTCTAATGTCCATTCCTTGTGTTTCTTGGCCCAAACAAATCTCTTCTGCTTGTTGCCTCTCCTTAGCAGTGGTTTCCTAGCAGCTATTTGACCATGAAGGCCTGATTGGCGCAGTCTCCTCTTAACAGTTGTTCTAGAGATGGGTCTGCTGCTAGAACTCTGTGTGGGATTCATCTGGTCTCTGATCTGAGCTGCTGTTAACTTGCCATTTCTGAGGCTGGTGACTCGGATGAACTTATCCTCAGAAGCAGAGGTGACTCTTGGTCTTCCTTTCCTGGGTCGGTCCTCATGTGTGCCAGTTTGGTTGTAGCGCTTGATGGTTTTTGCGACTCCACTTGGGGACACATTTAAAGTTTTTGCAATTTTCCGGACTGACTGACCTTCATTTCTTAAAGTAATGATGGCCACTCGTTTTTCTTTAGTTAGCTGATTGGTTCTTGCCATAATATGAATTTTAACAGTTGTCCAATAGGGCTGTCGGCTGTGTATTAACCTGACTTCTGCACAACACAACTGATGGTCCCAACCCCATTGATAAAGCAAGAAATTCCACTAATTAACCCTGATAAGGCACATCTGTGAAGTGGAAACCATTTCAGGTGACTACCTCTTGAAGCTCATCGAGAGAATGCCAAGAGTGTGCAAAGCAGTAATCAGAGCAAAGGGTAGCTATTTTGAAGAAACTAGAATATAAAACATGTTTTCAGTTATTTCACCTTTTTTTGTTAAGTACATAACTCCACATGTGTTCATTCATAGTTTTGATGCCTTCAGTGAGAATCTACAATGTAAATAGTCATGAAAATAAAGAAAACTCATTGAATGAGAAGGTGTGTCCAAACTTTTGGCCTGTACTGTACGTCCCTACGTGACTGGTTGCAGTCCAGTCTAGTCCAATTGCACTGTTGACAGACTCCATAGCCATCGGCCTCTATCAGAGCCAAGTTTCTCCAATAACAATAGTTTGTTTAAAGTCCTATCAGTGCAGATTAATCAGCCAGACTGAAAAATCAGTCAACCTCTACTGGAGACGTTTCAGTCCTTCTTGGTACTAGGTTATTTTGGTCAGTACCTTGTAGGCCTGTCACGATAACAAATTTTGCTGGGCGATTAATTGCATCGAAAATAATTGCGATAAGCGATAATATTGCGTAATATTGTGCTTTTAAGACCATTTTTATTATTGTTGTAATTTTGCTGTTTTTAGACTATTTTTTAAACTTTATATAATGATAATAAATGCATATTGATGCAAGTACACCCTTTTAAAGAGAAATAAACATTTAACAAGATTATTGTTTTTAGAACAAACCTGGCATACCGGCTCGTCCAAATTACTGGGCTCACCTCTGTCATTTGGTTTAAATCCAAAATACTCCCTCACAAGGGCCGTGGCATTTGGTTTAGGAACAAGTTCCATGTCTTTCTCTTACACTAAACTTTTTTTTTCTACACCTCGCTAAATGTAGGCATTTTTTGCATTATGAATCGGTAAAGGTAAAAAAAAAAAAAAAAGAAAAAACTATGTATGACTCCCTGTAGAACAACTGTTGGGGCTGAGCACCACTTGAACTTCTCCTGTTTGTGTTGGGTTAGACAGCTGTTGATGCCAGTTGGGTTTTTTTTTGTGTTCATTCAGCCTTCCTCTTCTCTGTACATCTGTACATAATAGACTTTTATCGCCAACATGGTGACACCACCAAGATCTTTCTGGCTCTCCAGTAGAATTTTGGATAAAAGAGTTTTCTCCAGCAACAGAATTGGCTTTTATCGTTAAGTTTAAGTTTATTTAAGTTTAAGTTTATTTACTTTATTAATCCCCCTGAGGAGAAATTCAATGTTTTCACTCTTGCTTGTCAATTACACACAGGTCCGAAAGACACACACATACACAAACAGGATCTATACATGCACAAAGTGGAGAGATGTCAGAGTGAGGGGGCTGCCCTTGGTGAGGCGCCCCGAGCGGTTGGGGCGTTTGGCAGTGCCCAGGAGGTGAACTGGCCCCTCTCCAGCCACCAGTCCACACTCCAAGTCCCTATGGACTGAGCTACTGCCGCTGGGGTTGGTTGATGAGATGAGGCTCGCCTTAGATCATAAGAGGTTTACTCTGTTTACTCCACACAGCTTTCATAATGGCTCCTCTCCCACTTTTACATATCCATATCAATAATTCAAAACTTAAAATTTTGGGGCGAAATTGCAAGTAAGGTTGTCCTCCTGGTGAGGCAATGCTTGTTGCACGCTTGTCATGTGGTGCTATCGCTGAAAAGTTGCTTCCTGTATTCCACGCACTACTCTATTTAAAACATCTCATACACCGGCTGCTGAAACCATAGTGTCAGAAAACAAAACAGCGATCAGACAGCAAAATGTTGTACAGTACCAAGTTTACCAAGCCTACTACAACAACTCCAACTGGCGTATGACAGAGACAAAGCATTCTCGTAACTTCACCAACTATCTAGTTTTCTAGCATAACTGGGTGAATATCAGTATGATTGCAGTGCCATACTTTTCCTCAGGTAAACTCAAAGGAACCACAGTCATATTGTTCAGTGTTTCATCTCCACCTTAAAATTTGAATTATTTTTTGGTCAGTTGACTCATCAATTCATCAGCTAATCACTGCAGTTCTAGAATGATTACAGATATGGTTTGTGATGTTTCCTTTGTCCTCACAGGTAAGAAGCTGTTTGGAGAGGGTTACAGTGGGCTGGAGTACGACTACAGAGGCCTGATCAAACTCTACAACTCAGTGGGAAACTACGAGAAGGTATTTGAATACCACAATGTGCTGTCCAACTGGAACCGACTGAGGGACCGGCAGTTTGCCGTTGCAGATGCCCTGGAGGATGTCAACACTACACCCCAGCAGACCCAGGAGGTGGTGCAAGCTTTCCTATTGGCTCAGAGCCTGGGCCCCACCCGCCCCTGTCTCGGCTGATTTCATGAGGGAAGAGATTAAAAAAAGACAGGCAGGCTTTTGCCTGGTGAGGACACATACTAAGCCCAACTGTGATGCACACAGTTAATTAGTAAATTCAAGTATCACCGGTGAGTCAGTTGGCTTCATAGTCACTGCAGCTGCCAGTACACACAGACATACACACACTTTTAGTTGTGGAAAAAAAACGTAGAGAAGACACTATTATCAAACCTCATTGACATTCACACAAACCACCAAGATGCAACTGGAGACTGGATGCAGCTTCACCCCACAAAGCAGACTTTTGCATTTCTCCAAGAGAAAGAGGACACACAACCGGGGGGGGGGGGTAAAAAAACAACCTCAAACATCCTGTAAGGATGACAAATGACCTCTCCTCTTCTCTTGTCTTGCTCGCCTTTTTCTTTTCAATTTGGAATTGGAGGAGATTTTTGCTTTTTGTATTTGAACCAGTGTAGCTCTGAATGCCATGAGACTCATCACAGATAAAAACCATGTTCTCCAGGGCTATACATGACAGTATCTGGACCCATACACGTGTGAAAAACTTGTTTCAGCCTTCATCCAGCAACATCATCACATGGTGGATCAGAGATGGAAAATGTCAGATATTTTTGACACTTGTACAGTAAAATAATACAGCAGATTGTAAATTTAAGTTTGAACTGAAGGCTCCCTGGTTTTTTGTTTTTTTTTTCTTTGTGAAGAAATGAAAGTGGACCCTAAGAGAACTCCTGTTTTAAACTGCTTGGTGGTGAGAGATTACAAACAGTGGAATGTGTTCAACCAGTGGGTATATTGTTACACACATAATAGGCTTCACAGGTCCTGTTTTCAATTTATTTTATCTCTTTTTCCAGCTTAGTCCTGACTTTGAAAAATTAAAATGCCAATAATTTATATGCAAAAGTGTATGTTTATGTAGCCCTTTGTTAATGCTTTTCTTACTGAGTTAGCTATGAGTTCTGAAGAAACACCTCAAACTATCACTTTCAAACAAGGGACTTGGACAGGAGTGAAAAGAGGAAGATGCTGCATGTACAGAGGCTTCTAAGCCTCCCCTTATTTGTTAATCTTAAGGTGTGGCTTCATGATTGAGTGTGTACGTGTGTGTCAGTATAAACAGATAGAACTCTTGGTGCCCAAGTGCTCCACTGATGATTACCAGCCTTACACCACCTTGCAGTTATCTGTCTGTAGACGGACCCATACTTCTAAGTGCTTAATAAACTATTATACCCTTAAGGGCACTACAATGGGGACCAACATTGCGTGTGTGTGTGCGTGCATGTGCACTGTTTACCTGTGCATCTGACCTCTCCATTCCTTCCTGTCAGATATCCCATTAATGCAAAGTTCCAGATATTTTTTTTTAACTGGACCATGTTTTTCCACCATACTTACTGGTTATTTCCAAAATTCCATCAGTTTAATCACCATAGAGCTTAACTCTCCTGAGGATGCTGGTCTTTAATCATAATGAATCAGTGGGAATAATAACCATGAACACAATAACTTTTTCAGTCTATGTCAGTGAAAGGAAATTAATCTGTCCTTGCGGACAACTGCTGGTCTACATGGAGCACTAACAGGATCAGATCACTGAAATTATATTAAAAAAAAAAAAAAAAATTAAAAACAAAATGTATCTCGCATACAGTGCAGTTCCCAACCATATTTGCTTGTTACTGTAGTTAACTGTCAGTTAGTCAATTGTAGATTTTTTTTGAGGTACAACCATACAGTATTTCAAAAGGTGAACATAATGTGTATAGTAGATTTGTGTTCTTCTTGTCATGGTTATGAACTTGCAACCTCTAGTGGGGTCCAGACTCAGGTTGGGCACAACTGCAACTGTATCTGACCTTGCAGATAGTTTTGGTGGAATCATTCCAAGTTCCTCTGAAAGTCCCTGGGAAAACTAAAGTTTGGGGCCCCACTTGACACTTTGAAGGAAATGTTGCTGTTGCCTCTTTTGTCATTTGTCAATTCTACTAATGAAATCCTGTACACTTCGATTGTGTTGAGGTGGAGACAGAAATGTCAGAGATGGTTATCTCTGAACTGGGTTAAAGGGACAGTTCAGATTTTGGGTTGTATGGGGTACTTATCCATCGACAGTTTATTACATACAATAGTTGTCAGTCCGCATGCCCCCAGTTTGGAGAAGCAGGCTGTAGTCTGACACACAAACTAAGCTATCTACTGCGGTGGAGGAGTCAGCAACAAAATGTATGTTAGCCATCATATGAAGTCCCCCTAAAACAATATCAGTTTAAGTGTACACAATATTCAGAGTATTTTCATTGCTTTACCTTAATGTCAGACAGTGACTTCCAATGGGAAAATGAAGTTATATTTCTCTCTTCAAAGCCAGACTCCATTGAGAAAAGGTTATTTAACATTGCTGAACACAGGAGCTGCTGGTCTACCTTTACCAGTTAGTTTGTGTTATCATGTGACTTGGGCATTTAAAGGGGTTAGCTCAGATTCACCAAAGTCACACAATAACACAAACTGACCAACTGAATGCTGTAGCTGTAGACCAGCAGCTCCTGTGTTCAGCGACCTAAAATTACAGTTTTTCTCAATGGAGTCTGGTGGCTTTGACAAGAGCACAGATGGGGAACTGAAGCCATTAACAGCTTCCCATCGGAACATGCTGTCTGACTTAAAGATACAATAGTGAAAATACTCTCAATATACAGACTTAAACTGATATTGATTGTTTTAGGTGGGACCTTTTTAAGGTGGCTAAATGTGTTCTGTTGCTGACCCCTCAACAGCAGTACATTGTTCAGCTTCCATGTCAGACTTCAGCCTGTTTGTCCAAACTGGAGGCGTGCCGACTGACATCAGTTGTATGTAATACACTAACTATGCAAAAGTACCCCACACTACCCCATTCAAAAAAATCCAAACTATATCTTTAATCAAACCAAAACTATCTGCATGCCTACATATCAATTAGAGGTAAGTGAGAAATAGGTACGGGTGAACGGACCCTGTAAGTAATGCAAAATCATAGTCATAGTTGTGTGGTCATGGATTAATTAAGATGAGCACGACATTTGTAGCTCTGTAGAGAAATAACTGATGAGCTTTTTTGGAAAAAGTGAAAATAAAGTCGAGCTTTAACATAAATTTAGCCATTTATATCTGCAACATTACTGAAAATGTGATGCCTTCAATAAGTACCCCACTGTAATTTTTTAAGTGAATGAAGAAAACAAGCTTTGCCTTGCTGTTGCTTAAGTGCTGCCGGACGTCTCTGTCTCTCGCAGTGATGTCAGTGGCTCTAGCTGAGGTGGTCCTGCCTTAGCCCCCTTAAAGGACACTCAGCTACACTCTCAGTGCATAGGCTTCAAGAAGCGTACTCTCCCTCTGGGCACAGGTGGAAATGAATGTTACCTGCAGTAGGTATTTCCAAGCAGTTCTATACAGATTACAAATGAAATTTGGAAAATTTACAGAAAAAAACAGTAGAGTTGGGCTTGTGACAAATAGTCAATACATACATTCTTGTCCTACAAAGTCAGCAACTGCAAAAATACAATAGAAAAATCTCCCCACAAATACTCATATACTGTTGAGATATAATCATGGCTGGTCCAACCTAGGGTTTATTTTGTTCTCCCCTTTGGCAACACTGACTGCTTTCAATCAAAGGTCACGTCACCCTGCTGAATTGCACTCTGGTCTATGAGGGCTACTGTTTCGGAAACATGGGCTCATAATTTCTGTGACTTCTACAATAGATTTTTCTCTGTACCAGTCCTGGAATTTCCAGAAAAGGCTCCTTCTCACTTATATTTACATAAAGCATTTTCTGTCTACACTCCAGCTGAATTGTGACTTTCTTGCCATGATGCCACTTTCTTTGTTTGGCCAAGAGGAAAAAGACAAAAATTGACTCAGAAATTTGATTTTTTTTTTTTTTTTTTCTCAGCGTATTGAAGGGTGTTTTTCCTTTATCAATAACCCTGAGAAACCAGCTGTCTGATGGAATGTAAGGAGAAAATTTGACTTGGCTATACCTATCGGTCATTATTATGATCTAGTGATATCTGAATACCATAATTTCAGTACTGGAGGGGATGGAGGGTCAGAGGGTGTGGGCTTGCTGGGAAAGATGGACAAAGTTAGAGATGTTCAATAAAGCCATGATCTCTCCTACAGCCCTGTTTCTCTCTATGAGTTGAGATGATTGACACCAAATGTAATGAGGGGATGTTTCACTGTTGTCCTGTCACTGCTTCACTGTTAGCTGCAAAAACATTAAAACTTATATATCATTGATCACAAAAGCCACATGCAGTTTTTCTTGTATTTACACCTTAAACCAGAATTTATTTACAACCCAGTGAAACAAACATGGACAAACAAATGTTATTAACAAACAAGAGTTTTACAACTAGAAAACTCAACGGCTACATAGTGTAGGGGCCTTATGCTAAGGCTTGCTCCACTGCATCATCGAGCAGGCTGTTAACCCCTCCCAAAAAATGCTGGACACAAATGTTGAAAAACAATGGTTTAACTCCACAATTCAGAGCTAGACAGTTCCTAGCATCTCACATGTTTTCAACAAGTATTTTCTAATGTATAATGTGTTCAGATGTAAATATCAGATATGACTCACTCAAACACCACTACTATCATGTGATACCACTACTATCATGGGACGTTCTGAGTACCTACTATGAGGCAGGGACTTGTTTAGCCCCTGTAAAATTTCCGGAACACTGTCCTTCAGGGGTGGTTCCTGCCGTGGAGACACGCACCAACGGCCCCGGCCCCGGCCCCATAAAATTACCTTGAAGTTCCTGCGGTGGAAACGGGCCTATGGTGAGGAGCTTTCTTGTCTTGATATCGGTGGCTTCTATCTCCTACTTTGGCCAGCTCATGATCCCAGCTGGGTATCTAATGACTGGCAGTGTGTACATGTTGATGGCTTGGACCTTGTTCTGACCATTCAGCTGACTTCTCAGGACTTGCCTTACTCTCTGGAGGTCTGTCCTGCCCTGTGTTAACCATTCTGGGTGGGTCCCATCCCTTAGCAGCTGGGTCATCTGTGCTGCGAGGCGTTCATGAAGTGCAGGTTAGTTAGGATAATTCCAAAATAGGTAAAAATGAATATAAAATTATTAAACCATCATCATTAAAAATATATGTTTTTCAAATATAGTAATGAAATTAATGATCTCTTTGTTTTTACTTGTTTTTGGCAGTAAAAGTTAAATATCCCCTTTGACCAAAAAGTAAACATCCATATTGACTGACCACCCCCCTGTATCTGCATGAAATGGTTTGGTCCTGCATTAGCACACTGACGGTGACAATGCCTAATAGCAGTCAGCAGTTGTGCTCGAATGCTACAGTCATCATCATGCTTCCTAGTACTAAAAGAAAACCCGGTTTTCAAAGAAGGAAAGAGAGAAAGGAGAGAGAGGAGAGGCAAAAGAAAGGGTGTCAATATGTGACCCAGTTTTGCTCCAAGAAAGGTGGGTAGCCTATAGTCTGTGAGTGGTAGAAATGAACCTGTTATCTTAATGTCCATAGTGAAATAAGCTAGCTACAGACTAGTGTTAGCCTACACTCCACTCCTTTTTAACCTACATTTAATCAGTGCAGGTAAATGTTTTGCAAGATATTCATATTAAATCAGTTGTCCCTGCCCCTTTTACCAGACTCAACAACAGATGAGTCAGAAGCAGCAGCCCTGTCTCCCCATAACTTTACCCCTCCCCGTCCCAATGAAGAAGGTGAGCAACACTGTGTTGAATGACATGCCAGTTAGCATCATTGCAAGGGGTCTGTGGGAATTTCTCTCTCCCTCTCTTGCTCTTCTTTTTTTACCATTACACAAAAGAAAACGAAATATTTTTAATGACAGAAATTCATGCAAATTATTTTTCCACATAATGATTATTATGAAACAAAAACAGCCTACAACTGTCTGTACTGGATGCTGGACAGTTGGAAACATTAAGTAGCCTAACTCAGCCTGTATGAAAGTTACAGGCAATATTAAAATAATCCAGTTAGATGCTTTCATTTAGATTGAATTATGGCTGTTAAATGACATCTATAGATAAAGAATCAAAATCTGCTGTTTTCATTATTTTGAGATGATGATCTTAATTCATTTTGATTGAAAAGTTAATGTATATTTAAGTTATTTTTCTAAGTATTTCATTAATGTTAAGAGATTTCTCCATTTTGGGATTTTACAATAAAAATTACATTTAGACTGTAAAAGATGGACTTTAGCACATTTTTTATGGCAGCTTTTAATCTTTCATCAAATAGTGAATTGCATACTGTATGCAGACTGTTGCATGTACAACTCACAAGCAGTAAATATTGTACTGGTAGTATTGAACTACAAGGAGCAAGACAGTTGCAAGCCTTCAAAGTTAGAGTTATATAAAGCTTTTAATGGGTCAGTTAGGTCCTAGACACAGCTGCGCAGGGGGTGCCCAATGTGATTTTTTTTTCCTGGCAGTGCCCCTGGAACATACAATGATATTTTAGTGTTGTACCCAACCAACGTTGTGGCAGCAGTTTAGGTGATGCCTATTCCTGTTTCACCAGTACAATTCCTCAATGTGTTCGGGTCTGTGTTGTTTTAGTGGTGAACAAAAAATCACACCTCTTGAAACTTGTCTCTCAGCATTTTATTGCAAGGCAGCAGTAAATGCAGCCAGATAACTTCCCTGCAATTGTAAAATAAACTGTTTAGGTTTTTTTTAAGTTTGTAGTTACTTGTTCAATAAATATTTCATTTATAAAGAAAACTGATCTTTTGATTTGTGTGGGTGTAAATGTTGGGTTAACTGTACATCAGGAAAAGAATTCTGTAGCAGCCTTCAGTTTGTGAGACTAAATTTATTAATAGGCTAATTGGCTATAAACCTCTCTTTTTTAATGGGTGGTGCTGCTCCAAGGATTTGATTTCTGTTATTTAATATAAAACTCATTGTTGAAGTTGAGTTCCATCAGGCTCCTTTATTTGTTATGTCAGTTCATGTGTTTCTGAGGCATAATCTTGAGTTATGATTTATAGTTACATATTTTGGAATTAATTATGAATTGTTGAGTCCAATACTGTAATTGCTACATCAGTAAAACAGACAAACAACAGAAGAGCCAGGACTGTCGTGGTGAAGAGGGAGCTGGGCCAGAAGGCGAAGCTCTCTATTTACCGGTCCATCTACGTCCCAACCCTCACCTATGGTTATGAGCTTTGGGTAATGACCAAAAGAATGAGATCGTGGATACAAGCGGCCGAAATGAGTTTCCTCAGAAGGGTGTCTGGGCTCAGCCTTAGAGATAGGGTGAGGAGCTCAGACATCCGGAAGGAGTTCGGAGTAGAACTGCTGGCCCTTTGCGTCGAAACCAACCGGTTGAGGTGGTTTGGGCATCTGATCGGGTGCCTCCTATTAAGAGGATGGATGGATGGATGGATGGATGGATGACAAATTGTCTTAATATACTGTCATGTACTACTAGACTATACTATACTGTTTAATCTGATTTGAAACACTATAAAAAGGTTTAGAATAGCTACGCCCAAATGCCAGTGAAAATGTGCCGCATTATCGCGTGTAATTGAGCTGAGTGATGAGCAGTGTTGGCAAGATGGAATTTTACCACAGTTCATTAACACACACTATCCACATTGTTATGATACAAAACTGTTTAAAATTCATCAAAGTATCCCTTTAATAAAAAATATTTTGCACAGAATCAAATAAAGGCACAGCTTAGCCTTTTTAACAGTCAACACATCTAGAAATACAAAATATCTTTCAAAGGAAAAACGCTTATGTAACTAATTCCATTTAGGTCATTTAAGTCAACTATTTCCCACCAGTCAAACATTAATGCCATCACATGAAAGTCTTGTTACTAAACCCTTGCTGCCCAGCCTTGTTTTGTAGTGATGTTGTATCTTTGCATTTATTGGCTTATTTTATCATAGAAATAGTTTCTGAATTTTTTTTCTAACCCAAAGTGAGCCTTTTGCTGAAGTCAAACTGAGAATAAACCAAAGGTATGAGGTTCCATAGCAGAAAAAGCAAAGTCATATACTGTTGTAGTTGCTTCAGCTCAGACTCTCAACACTCTTCAACATTCTCAAACATTTGCACACACCTTGTTATGTTTAGCAGCAATGGGCAGGTGTAAATATACATGAAGAAAGTTTTGTTGGTATACAGTGCACAAGAGTTTTACTTAAAACTGAATCCATTGCAGATACAGGCTTTGGATATAGCCTTCCTGTTTAATGTGGTGTGATCTATGTGAACAATAAGTCTCTCCCTTTGGTGGCTAGTGTCATTTCATAAAGCAAATTACGGTAATCACACAATACTCTTATCATCAACAGAAACCATTGTTTACTGGAGGTGTTTTCATACCTCTAACAGGCCTGCCGGCATTCCTTAATTAGTCTCAGATAATGTTTCAGTATTTGCTCTGGTTACAGAGTAACTGGGTGATGTTGCATAACATTCTCACTCCCAACTCAAATACTGATGCTTAGTCAGTGGCCCTACACATCAAAATATGATGTAGTAGGTACCCCTCCTGCATCACTTTAGGACATTCAGGGACAGCAGTTGAATTTATGCTTGTTACATGTGTTGTCTCTTTTCAAAATAAACTTCCATTTTTACAGGAAATGTACAGTTTCTGCTTGTTAAATGAATGGAAACAGATCACATTTAAGTTCCGCCCCCACCAGAGGGGAAAACAGCTCATCACTCTCTATTGTATTGTGTGAAGGTGCCTCCTTGTCATTTACATCTGTTAGCAAACAACACAAAAATTCCTACAAGCTGCTTTGTGGTGGGATGCACTATCAACATTGTAAAGAATCTATAAAAGTGTTTACAACCTGCCAAACCAAAGAAAAGGAGCTTTTAAACAATAAGACGTGAGGCATCAGCAGGAAGAATGGGAAAACTGTGGGATCCTGACACTAAGTGTGCCTAATGTTATGTACAGAAAGAATTTTACTAATTTGTCCAGACAAACTATAGAGGTCGAAGCTAACTAAGCTGTGTAAGGCCTGGTTTTGTTGGATTAAACGATTTTACCAGAGGGGTATTCCATCAAGCAGGCTAAAGGCAAATCCAGGCTTAAATGGTCAAGTCTGGCTAATGTGAGCCAGAGTTCTGTTCCATCAAAGTGGATAAGATTAGCCTCACATCGGTAACCATGGAAACCATGTTTCTGGCTAAGCCTGATACATCGAGCTAAACTCCGGTTTCCGTTCCATCAAACTGAGCCACAACTCCTTTCCATCAACCATGGTAATTTATGCTGCCGGGCAATCCTGGTCTGTAGCAGGATTAAGGTGAGGATTAGCTCCATCTATGATCAAAAAATGTTCAACAGACAAGAACAGACACCTAAAAGACAGTTCTGCCAGTGCTTTTACACACTCACAACTGTCATGTAATGATAAAATAATATGTAGATCATAAAATATATAACATAATCAATAAAAAAAATTAACTATTAAAAAACAAATTAAAATGTAATAAAAATAAGATAATTAAAAAAAACAGCAGTAAAGGCAAAATGAATTTAATAAAAACAAAACTATAATAAAATGAAACTGAGGTATTAAATAAAAGATTGTACATGAATATGTGATTGCCCTCCTATCGCCACCCCGCTGTGTTTCCAATTGACAAGCAAATTCACAGCCAATTAAGGTCAACTGACAACAGCCAGAGAAGGAGAGGGACACACCCAGAGAGACACAGAGACAGAGCAAGAGAGAGTAAATTAGGAAATAATGGCATGCCCCTTCATCAAGGATCCTGTTGATGAGGAGGCCCCCATTGTTCAGTGGGCCTTCTAACCACCACCACCCCATGGGTCTTCCAGGACAGGACCAACCCATTGATACGGACAGACTCCTATCTGTGGGAGAGGTACTGGTTCAGCAGGCAAACCATAGTTTATCTATGCAGTTTGCTGGAACCACACATTATAAAGGTCACATGCCGCAGCCAGTCTCTGACCACTGTGCAGTCAGTCTGTATTGCACTGAGGTTCTTTGCTGGCGGTACATTCCTGTATAGTGCTGGTGATGCTGAGAGGCAAGTAAAGTAAAGTAAGTAAAGCGGCCTTCACATGATAAGAACAACACACTTGGTTCACCGCCAGGTGCGGCGCAGCAGCGCGGTCAAAGTTCAAATAATTTCAACTCTGAGTGCAGCGCTGGGGCGGAAAATCCGAGTGGTGCGCGACGCCAAGGGTAGCGGTGCCGCTTTGTCAGGCGTTGCCGCCCTCTCCATAGACAAACAATGGGACAGCCAGCGCAAAGCGGTTTTACATCTGATCATGTGTAGAGGCCTTAAAGGCAACTGTTTGCAGAGAGGTAAAAAGGGTGTATTTTCTATTCGTTTTGATTATTTCTAGCATCACCATACATCATGCATAGGGCTTGAAATGATCACATTAACATATGGTTATCTTTTATATTTATGAATTAACCATGACACAAAGCAACCACATTAAAATGGGACACACACCATTGTGGTTTGTCTGTTCCTCATCCTATAGCACATTCCATACATTTAAGGGGATTTTCCTTATTTTGATATAATCAGGGATAGAGCTTACAGTTGACTCCCAAATGATGAGAAATAGATAATTGAGTCACAATCACCTGCATTCACTTAATAGTTTTCCTCATCTCCACTGAACTGATGGATTTGCTAAATGTCATTTTCTACAATCAATAGATAAATGTAATGTGATTATTTCCTATAAACTGATCATTTCAGAAATGTCAAAATCTACAGTCAGTTATGTGATAAATGTGATGATTCACATAAAATAGTTCGATTAAATGCATCATCTGAAATTTACATAGGAATCTGTAGATAAATGTGATAATAGTCTATCACTAATATTAATTTACACATGTGGTGAATTTCATCAGGCATACTTGAATTGTTAGATTTAATAGGTGTTCTTATCTACATATATTTTGTCCCTTTGATGCGGGATTTATATAACATGATATTATCCTGAAATGCTGAATTTTCTTTGTCACTTGCGCATTAAGCCTGTCGGCAATATTCCGCTACGCCACCTCCCTTGCTTTATTAATTGCTGCAGTATTGCCTTTTTCTTAATTATGTCCTTATAGTCCTCATACACTTCCATAAGGAGCGTTTGCTCCGCCATAGAAAAAGCCTCCGCTCACTCCTTTCCTTTGCTTTTTGACATTTTGCAACATTTTCGGCACTCGACTAGTGTGGGCTTTTTATTTTCCCTGGGTGTGTGCATGAATTGAGGCTTATCGGGTGAGGCTTGAATTAGCGTCAATTGGAGCCAGCTGATTTCACTTGATGGAATGGGTTGGTGCTAGATTGCGAGTTGGTGTTTAGTCAAACTTCAAGATTACACCTTAGTCTGGATATTCTTTGCTACGTTGATGGAATACCCCCCTGGTGATTTACTCAAATAGTTGTAAATATCCGAGTATGTCACTACTGGCCATTCAGTGGGATCATTTCTCCAAGATAAGCAATTAAGAAGAAGAGGACACTGAGACAGATGACCAATATTACGTTTGTCGATGTAGATCTTCAGCATTGGTTAATGTTACATTTTCAAACTGTAATTGGTCATCACTTGCTGTTACTTGAGCAGACTGATTATTTACCTCAGAAATCATGACACACTGCTTTCCCCAATTCTCCAACGTTCTCCCACAGGAATTTGGGGTTTTTTTTTGTGTTTTGGAGAGACCCAAATTTGACCTGAGGCCATTGTTCAAGAAGGTATGAAAAAACAGGTACCCCCTCAAACCTATTTAACTGATGCTTTGGTGTTTTACTCAAGAATTTTCTTTAGAGAAGCTGCAACTAATTTATCACTACCAGTCAGCATGAAAGAATGCATCATTTCATTCATACGGAAATTAAGTAACAATGGTAAGATTCTAGATAACTTAGACAGTTATCACATAAAGGTAGTGGAATAATGTAAGCAATATACCAGCGTAGATGTACAGAAGAAGTTGACTGTGCTGAGTGCCTTTCAATTCTTTTCCTCCTGTGTCTCCTCATTGGTGAGGTATTCAATGTGTGTCCATATGCACCATATCTGCAGAGAAACAGACAGAATGTTGGCTGTGAGACAGCTTTACATGATCACATAATATGAAATATGAGCAGCAATTATTTCAATGCATCTTCACAATTGTCAACATGACCTCCACTGATAGAGCCAGCAGGCGGCCTGCAGCCAGCAGCAGGGTCCCCAGAGCCTGGATCCACGGAGGTACAAACAGCCAGTGAGTGAGTAAACCCCACTGGCACCCGTACAGCCACAGGGGGAGGCCGTGCAATCCGCTCACCACCCACGTGCCAAGAGGTGTTCGAAACCCTAAAAGCACCAGATACAGATTCAGTTTCAAATGAACTCATGGAATATGTGATTTATCTTAAGCTGCACAGTACATCACCTTGTTTACAGTGAAAGTCTTGTTACCGTTTGCCATGATAGCTTGTATGAGTTGAGGGCTGGTGATGAAACTGCTCTTCCACTGGTCACCTCTGGCATTGTGGTTACACACAAGCACACACCACTCCAAAGCAAACACCAGCCAACCCCACTATAACACAGTGCAGATATGGCATATATCAGAAGAGACACATTTTAACAGCAAGACACCTCTGTGTTTGCAATAAGTGTTTCATACTGTAGACATACAAGCAAGATCTATTCAGAGTCAAAGTCACAAGTAAATCTGTACAGACAAGGCTGAGTGAGTGGTACAGTGGCTATTCTGCTTGATGTCACAAAAATCATGACACAGAACAGTACGGGCTGCTGCTGCACATATAATAAGGATTAATAGGGATTTGTTTTTTTGCAAATACTAGGCTCCTTTGTACCAGCTAATCATTTATACAATAATTTTGTTGCTAGACGTGGACCTATCTGAACGCCACACTGTCAGATCTGCAAAATTTATGTTAACATATGCTAATTAAGTTATTTACAAATATTAGCTATACTTTTTGTGATTAATATTGGACAATGACAGGAATATACAACTTTCAGTCACTCATTAGGGTAAGGACATCAGCTTATTACTTTGTGAACTCTCCTGCTGCTGACTCTGCTAACTGGCTGCCGGAAGTTTTCAAGTATACGCATCAGAGATAAAACATCAAGGAAAAAATGGAAAAGATGAACTCCAGCTACAATTCCGACTACGTGGATAAGCAAAACCATCTCTATGTCCATCTAAGCATCAGAGAAGGCACCGAGGCATGGAGGGATCAAACACCAGCTACGAACACTATAGGCCCCGGGGCCTGTTGTTCGAAACCTAGATAAGGGATTAAGTCGGGATATGTCGGTTATCCTGGCTTAATTTAGCGTTGATTCGGTTGTTCGAAAGCAGAGGCACATATGTTGCCATGGAGATTTATTCTGTGCACTTAGCCTGATCCCGACCAGGCTAACAACCAGGCTTAGTTTAGCATGGTGCATTATCTGTCCAGTCAGCTGTCACTGCGATCGGAAATCAGTGTGTTTTACCGTCATTTCATGTTCTTATGTACGTATTTGCCTCAATTTTGAACAAAATACATTAAGCCTACAATAATAAAAAAAAAACATTTAACATTTAAAACATTATTTTTGTCATAGCCCAAGCATACTTTGACATGCACATATCCTTACCAATAAAAGGAATAATTGTTGGAATAAACATACAAGTAAGTGTATTTGGCATTAATACAATTAGTGGTTATTAGGCTTCATAACTGTATGACCTTCCCAAATTATATTCCCAGTTAACTGGACCAAAAACTCCAGTGTACTTTACATCAATGAATGAAAACATGAAACCACAATATTCTTTGACCTCATTTTATTTAAATGAAAAATACTAAAATCAGTCACTGTCTGCTTTGAGCTGTGGAGAGAAAGAGAGAAATAATATTGATTAATACATTGCATCACAGTCATGCTTACAATGTGCATTAAAGTCACTTACTTCTTTCTGTAGTTTCTTAATTTGCAAGTCCAGTTTCCTTAAGGTTTTTCCTTTTAATTTGTCTGTCAGGCTCCATGTCCTGCAGCTTTCTCTTCTCACACCGGAGCTTGACATCTGCCAGGGCTATTTGCTTCCTCAGATGAGTAGCATATAGCTGTCTGACCAGGGCAGGAATTTCACGAGGGCCATGGCTCTCGTGGCCTCCCAATTTGGCCCTGTGCCCTTGAAAAAAATATCTGCCCTAAGGCCACAGTGGCCTTGATGCCCCGCCCGCACTGCCCCAGGTGATTTTGCGGTTTTCTCCTCTGCCTCTTTCCTGTCAACACGGCTCTGACACCTGCGTCTATTGAGAAAAAAAATGCGATGGCATTCTGGACTCTTACTGAGAAACATAAAATGAGACGATGCGCACATCACCAGTGGGGGGTTTGATTGGAGCCTGCCATGAACCGCTCAGACAGGCTATAACGACAGTTTGACACCAGTCTATCACCGGCCAACCAGGAGACTTCATCAAACGCCCGGGCAGGGATTGGCACCGAGACCCGGTATTAAACAACCCAAGGCAAGTTTAATCAACGCCATAATAACAGTAAGCTCCGCCATTATCGGCGTCACTTTTTAAAGTTTCGGTTTCATCAACATTCTGCAGCCTCTCTCCTCCTCTCTGCATGTCACCCCTCACAGCGCGCGCACACACACACACAGACACACACACACACAAACTCAACAGCAAAGAGGCCGCGGTGCAGGTGAAGGGAATATAACTTCAAGATCACTCTAGTTGACGACAACTACACTTCTTACTGTGAGTAAGTGCGATAAAACCTCTGCCACTGAATTTTCAATACATGGGATCAACATGTAGAAAGCCATATTTCAATCCGCTCTGTCCACAGTCTCTCATTCACCGCTATTATGATTTATGATCGCGGTCGACAGAAGCACATCGCGCTTGCAGTGCTAACAGCAAAGTGTTAAAGACAAACTAAATGAAAGCTGTCTGTATGTAGGCTAACACTTTATCTGAACATGTACCTGAGGCAGCCGACCTGCAGACAGTGAGTGTCCTCAGTAGAGGAGGGACAGAGAGCAGGACGAATGACTGATACTGGTGTCTGTCTTCATGTTTAGATAACGTGACTTTTTTCACTCAGTATTGTGATGTCAGGAGGAATATTTATATTCCAGTGAGATAGGCTATTATTGGGATTTAAATAGTGACTTTGTTGTTGTAAACATGTAAACATGTGTGTGTGGAGGGGAGAGGGAGAGGGAGATGCTGGTGGAGAGATAGTGTGTGTTATTAGATACTGTGACTTAATGTCACTTATTATGCTTCTGTGCATTGATAGCTCTCTTTTAGTCTGTTTCTGCATCATGTTGAGGAGGGCCAAGCCTGTGTATATATATATGTATGCAAAAAA